CCGATGCTTCCATGATACATGCGCGATGCTTCAAACGCATTGATGGCCAGTGACGAGCAGTGTTGTTTTAAAAACAGACCAGTCTTCACCACCCTAGTGCGATGCTTCAGACAACCCTGTAGAACGGGCCGTCTTTCACCGACAGACAAGTGTCACTTCGATCCCATAGGTGCCCGATTTGAAGAAAAGGGTTTTATAAGTTCCAGCGTTCACTTTGTCAGCACTGCCGTTACCAAACGTGGTATCGCTACCCAGATAGGGGAATTTTTTCCAATATCTCATGCAGTTCGGTTGCACTGACCAGTCCTGGTGGTGCACTCGCCCAATCTAAGAGAAGCAGTGTCATGTTTCGGCAACGCATCTAGCAAACGATAATATGAGCGGAGTGTGACGATATTCTATCCCCAGCTATGTTGTCTGACCCCGACTTCTAGTACAGCGGAACAGTAAGAGGACGAAACCTTGGACGCAACTTTAGTGCTCCGGACAACAGGCGATCCACAGATAAGTGACGCTGAAGATATATATCCTTAGTTTGGCCTTGAATAATGTCGGGAGTTCGTAAGCACACGAAGGGATATTCATATTCCCAAGTCGACGTTGGTCGACTTGGATGCGTTACGGCTGGTGTCGGCGTCGGTCTATCCATCGCCTGGAAAGAAGTGCTAGATCAAACACTGAGCTTCTGGTCATACTCTTCTTTCGAAACTATATCAGCTCTCAGCTCAAATGTATCGAGCAGAATGTCCAACTATACGGCACCTGAACATACTGGAGTTTCTGGTGTGCTGTTAAAGCGTAGTTGGTTTCGATATCTAATGCAGGTGTTTTGACCAACCGACGGGTCATACACCACACTGCCGCGTTTGCACAAGATACGACCTGTAATCCACACATCGTGCCCCGGGCAATAATCGTGGACAAGTGCGGGCGTTCCCACATTGAATGGAGCTCCAGCTGCTACCAGTATAGACCTTGAAGCAGCAGGCTATGATGGCAGCATGGAAGAATGCAGTTCTCAGCTTAGAGCTCATGAGTGCTTCCGCAGGTAACTGGTGGTTCGCGAAAGCATCATTCGGGGTCGTTCGGTACCCAAACAGGAATCTGAAGGACTTCGACGGATGTCTCCCCTCGGGTTTTAAGCGTGCAAAGCGCATGACAGCGTTGTCTAGATAATCGGTGTACTTTTTATCTGGATAAGATTTGAACCAGGCAGCGCAATATCGTCCACATCCTCCAGATTTTTAAGGCTTTCTCCTGGTAGGAGATCCATGCCAGAGGTAGAAGATAGCGAACGTTTATCAGATAGGCGATTCGACTACGAATTCGAAAACGATGCCTTGACGAGCAACAGTTTTGATGATGAACGCAGCAGAATACTCTCCATTGAATTTCACGCTCCCATGAATGTTGGATAAATGTGACAAAAATGTTGGGCACAACAATAAAAGAAAATAGTGACACGAAGCCACGCGATCGACTGAGTTGGACGCTGCTTTTTGATTCAAGACAACTCTTGGCTTTCTATTCATGTCGATGTGGTTGGCGTATCTGAAACTCCTCGGGAATCCAGCTTCGTTTTCGTGACTGTCGCTATTGGTAACAAGTTTGCGTTGGGTAATAACTGTAAGCAGCGTGGAAACTCAATGGCTAAACTCATACACCAGTAATACATCCTGGTGCCTGACTGTTGTAAGCCGTCAAACTGGCACTGTTTGANGCATTTTCCAAGTTACGGGCGTGTATGAGTATATGGGAGCTACCATCCGCAAAATAGTGTCCGAGAAGGGTGTCCACTCCATTTCTATTCAATTTCCTGATAGGCAAGATGGTTAGACGAACACTGGAAGGTCTTGAAAACAGTGGTGTTCATGTAGCCGCTGACGTTATCAACTTCATCTGTAGGGACCAGGCATTGAGGTTCCACAATAAATCCTTTGGTCCGTTAATCATTACGCTGAAGTTCCACCTCCCGAAATAAGCCGTGGGACTTGGAGTGGAGGTTTGATCCGTCTTCCTCTGGTGGATAACTTTCCGACTTGGTGTTCCGGATGATTTGGGGGGATTTGACTGTTCCAGATCTCCAGTGCCTTTTCCACTTACTGGGCTTTTTTTAGCCACTACTCGTCCCGGTCAGTTTACAGCTACGCGTAAGACATCCCTTCGGAGATATTTGAATCATATGGGTGGGATAACTTTTATCACCTAAATCAGGAACATAGGCAGTTTGAACTGGTCGTGTCTTCGCTTTGGGACGCACACAGTCAAATGTAGACTCTGAGTTTGAGATTTATGTTTGGCCAGCCGGTTTGATTCGTATACGAAAGGTGTCTAGACAGCAGATGTTGCTGATATACTTCCTTGATGATGGAATCTTACAGTTGGTGAATATCGTGCGTATGAATGGTCTTAACTGCTTGAAACTGGTCTACAACTAGTGCACGACCTAACTCAGTACATATGCTCCAAACCGAGCGAATACGCTGTTGGACAAAAGACCGCCCCCTTATAACCAGATGCTAGTGGGTAAGCTGGCTGCTAGATAGGTTACGGTTGGAGGTCGCTGGGTAACGCGGTGCTTGCGTTCGTGCTTGCAACAAACCGATGTTGATCCACGCACATTTGTAGGAAGAGGTCGTCGTTGATAGTTCTGGGAACACCTACATCAGATCCTCTGTCGAAACAGCTCTCATTCATGCCACATCTTTTAGAATCGGTGTCCAAATAGCCAGCTTGGATAGTGAAACCCTTGTATAGGACCATCCACAGGATTCTCGAAAGTCCTGTGTAAAACGCGGAATCCAAACGGAGCATCTTCAATCCATACTCAACGCGATAACCACGTCATCGGGAGCATGGGGAGCCGCTTCTGGTTCATCTGACACTCGAAAAGTAATCAGTGAACAAACTGAGCAGCTTGTCTTGTACAGATGGATCCCTGTATGCGTGTTTTGGAAGCACAGCTCAGCACTCATCGATTTTTATAGGAAAAGGTACGGTTGGGGGGTCTGTTGACTTGTCGGCCAGCAGTGTGGTCACATGAATGCTGCTATGCTTGAACATATTCCGATTGGTGGTGGTGCATGTCTAAGTTTTATTTTTCTGGGTAGGACGCTAGCAATCTATACTGACAGGCAGATTTATATTGGCATTAGGAGGGAATAGAGTTAGGATTAATGATCATTAGGCACTGTCCCTGAGCTTCGTGGACGAATATTCCCACGTTGCGCCGCCCGAAGCAGGAGATTTGTTTGCGTTACTCTGCTTTACTTTTGGCTCAAATGTCTGGCTCTTCCGTTCTATAGTCTCAGACTCAACAGTCCGAATCACGTGATAACAGCTCTTCAGGTGTTTTGCGGGACGCGGTTCGAAGCCAGCATCTCAAGTAGTCCTATCCGGATCGATTTGGAGGGCATGTCTAGCCAGATAGTGCAGGAAATAGGCTGTCGCTGTCCTCGTATTCTAGTTCCCGAATGACAGGTTAGGTGTTTCAAAAGCTTTGATCCGTCCTGCTGGGTAAGTCGTCTGACTTTGGAGACCAGTCATGTACATGCGCCAAGATAATTCATGGCCAGCATTTCCTGGCGTTCGTTTCGAATGCGCGAAGTAAGGAGCTATAGTGAACCATCTTCGGCGTTCGGGGCACCAACTGTAAATTGGCTGGTTAAGATTTATATCTATGAGACTACAGTATCAACGCATAATTAAACCAATCTTTGTTGCTGGACGTTAAGCCTCGTGAGAAGCATGTCACTGTAGATCCATGAATTTGTTTATATGGGATAGATAGACCGAAAAATAAGGTTTTTGACTTGATTGAAAAGTTAGCACAAGCCAGCATTGATTATCCGGGATTTCGCGGTCTTGGGACGTCTTATAAACTTTGTTTTACGCCTCCAGTAATCCAGGATGTTTGTATTACCCGATGTGCCACCTGCCCGTCGGTGATCATGTCTGATATCTGACGATCCGATGTGGTCCAGGTACTGTCACTTGGTGACTTGGAACCAGGGTTTAGCTAACTTCCGGCCAGATGACGACACTAGCGTCTGCTGCTTGCTCAAGTGATTTTCCCCCACAAAATGGGAGGAATCAGGGCAGAAGTTCCGAGGGTCAGGTCGCACGTGAGTATGGAGCGGTCACATCAGACGGATCACGACATTGGGAGTTACGCCACAAACCCTATTCGTGTAGGGTCGTTCGTCCACAGAACAACAGACGGAGTATGGGTTACACTAGAAACATCTGGCCAGCAAATACATTCATCAGCATCTGGGCCTTTTCGTTCCGCTAGCTTTGCATCAGTNGTCGTTCGTCCACAGAACAACAGGCGGAGTATGGGTTACACTAGAAACATCTGGCCAGCAAATACATTCATCAGCATCTGGGCCTTTTCGTTCCGCTAGCTTTGCATCAGTACTCTTAAGTACTCTTGCCCAGCATTGTGGGCATCTCAAGTTTAAGTCGTACTTTTGCTGCATGAGTGTAAACCACTCAGTTTATTAATCCTTGTGATGGATGATACCTCTGTTTAGGGTGTCCTCCCCGTTCCGAATAAATTTTCTATTCTAGGGGTAAAACAAAAGTTGAACATCATTTAATAGGTCTTCACAAAGGGTTATCCTCGCTTGATGGTGCGAGATGGACCAAGTGGTTAGAGCGCGAATTTACTGACCGGAAGGTCTGTGGTTCGAACCCGACCTCTGCCTCTCGTGTAACCTTCGGGTGGCATGGCAGCTAGGTACTGGAAGGGTGCTACAGCTGAACGATTTATTTTGATTTTATTTTATCCTCGCTTGATATTCTTCACTAAGTACTCGTATTTACACAACATATCTGGTCCTCTTTTCATCCCACACAGAGCAAAATACATGCGAACCCCTTTTCAAGCCATTCATGTCAGCTGGGCCCACGCTTTCCCGGTGTTTTCCGATGTACCTGACATCCATATCCTCCGGACATTCTTTGCCAGTGGACAAATTCATGCATCCGCCGTCCGAATGGAAACCTGTTGTCGAGCTTCTGTCGCTTTTGGCGAACCCTACCCACCCCCTTACTCCACTAGCGGGCTTTTGGACATTCTCGTTAACGCCTGTAACAGTGGGCTTTATATGGCCATCCCCCTTGCACTATATCCTAATAGACAATCATGGTTAAATGGAACAAATATCCCCTACTATCCCTTTACTTACAGCGCAATTGACTATCCCGCCCTGGTAAGTTTTATTGCTGAGGCATCCTCGCCTACGCCTGAGGAACAATATTCAGCAAAAGCTAGTTGTCCAGGTGTCTATTCGCTTGCAAATCCTGTCCAGTTTTCCACTGATTCATCTAATCACGGACCTATTAATCGAAACCGAAGTTCGCGTGGCGGAGCGCCCCGTCGTCCGTTTGTGTGGAACCCTCGTTATGTAGGTCTCGGACGAGGCGCGCACCAGAGGTCTCCGGCGGTTTCGCAGAAGGAAAACCAGAATTTACCTCAGAAACCAGAAAAGACAGAATCTAAATTGGTCTCAAGCGAAACACATGAATTGGTGAACAGTTCAGAGCCGAAACGTAAGCCACTTGGTGTGCGTAATGTTCGTGGAAGTGTACAGGCTGTTGGTCACCGAGGCTCCGCTCGAGGTCGTGGCGGGGCTCGTTTTCGTGATTGATTAGTACTTTTTGCTTTATCCTGCTTACAATAGATCATTCTTGACCTTCATCTGTGTACAATACCTTCCAACTGTCGTACCTTCCGTCAAAGCGTCGCCGCGCGTCATTCGTGTATGACGTTTTTTCTCCGGAGCCCATCTTTCATTGGTGGAGTTTGTCGATCCCGTTCCCTTAAACCATGGTCGGTGTACCTACGTGTGCCTTAGTTTTACCCAGACCATGCATATTCTCTAAGGAGTACCTCCTGTTCGCATCATTGTGTAACTATCCGATCGAGTACTCCTTTTTTTCACTATTTGACTTGCTCGTGTTCATTTATTGACCATCTCGTTTCTTCCCGACACAATAGTGGTGCTTGTGGTATCTAACCCATATTTCAGTCACTACTTCCGCTTGTAATTCATTCACATGTTTCAATGGGGAATAAGGCACATTTTCTTCGTTTGACAGTTTGCATCGAATAAATTCCTTTTTCTGAGCATTTTGGGTTTACTGGTGTCATAGTCAGAAGAGTCACTGAATGTACGGCAATTGCGCGGAATGTTGTTGGATGGTATATTTGCGGACAGAAACTCTGAATCCGGCGTAATTTTCGCCAATTTCAACTTGGTTTCAGAACTCATAAGCATGTGACTTTTGTCTCGTGAACAGTTGCGGTCTTGGTTTTACGGAATTTTGAGGTATGACCTTGCTGCCCGCGAGATACTGTTGATGGATTAGTTGGCTGGAAAGTTGTACCGTTTGTGAACGGCTAGGTGGCTAAATTGTCCCGTGGTGGAAGCTCGTCATAAGATTGGTTTGGAAGGAAGTTGATTAATGGAAATTCCTAGAGTAACCGGTTAAAATAATCGGTGAATATCTGTTAGGTCAAGCATCATATTTTTAAAATAAATATTTAAAAGGATTTCACCAATGTTCAATACTGTTTTGTGATGAAGATTTCCGGCTAAGGCTGACAAATAGGAATGTTACTTCAAGGCAGGATACAGATCTTTCGGTGTATCCGAAGCATTGGACAGGTTTGGTGCGAGCATCAGGTTAGCAACACAGGTAAGCCAGATGGTCTTGGGAAGAAGGAACTCTCCCGCGATAGTTGAATTACACTTCATAGGTTACGCTGGTTAGGCGGTGTACTCCGTATGCCAGAAGTCCGTCTGCCTCGCAGAGCTCGTTTATATATGTGAGGGAGGTGACCTAGTGTCGGTCTATGTCAAGCATTCCGAGGTGCCTACACCTACAACCGTTCAATCAGACAATCTGGAGATAAAGTGACGGCATGAACGCGACTGACATTATCCGCCATTTCTTGCACTCTCCAGCCAAGCACAGGCGGGGTCACGTGGATCCCATTCTGGAAGGCATACAACACCCAAACTCTCCGTAATCTCTTTCTGCCAAGTTATGCGCTTTCAAGTGACCGAGAGGCGGACTGTATGACCTGGCAATCAGGTACGAAAATACTGACTAGTAAACGGTCGGGTCGACCCTAATACGAAAATCTGGGCGAATGAAACGTACATGTTGAAGATTGACCCTTGTTAACACCAATGTAAGTTGCAAACGAGTGTTAGTACGCTCAGTTTGGTGTTCTACTTGGAAATCAAGGTTGATGGAGTTTCTACCTACCTGGTGAACTTCAAGACGGATGAAATGGACACGGCCTGCCGGAGTGGAAGAGACCTCGTTATAGTGAAACATGAGGCAGCCTTTGTGCATTGCGTTCAGTTGAAGAATAGAGTAGATGGTAGGTTTGGCTCCGTGGTTTGAACCCCACCTCTGCCTCTCGACTTCCCCTGTCTAGGCTTGGGCAACCTGGTAGTATCCCAGCCCTCATGCTTCCTTCCGGTGGCATGGCGGCTACGCACCGAAAGGGTGCTACAGCTGAACGATACTAGACCACTGTTTTGGTGTCACAGAACTTGATCCGTTTTGCAGTGTGGATTTAGGCGAACGCTCTGGCGCGACAGCACGAATGGATCACACCTCCATTGAGGTAACCGAACCTACCGATCCGAAGGTTATCTCATTTCACTACACCACTTCGGAATGTTTCAACGATGGAGAACTTGAAAGTCAGTAAACTGCATGGGCGATCTGGTAAATAGCTCAGATTTCCGGGTGTGATTTATTACGGAAGAATTTGCGCGCTGATTTTTGGTCGTCCAAAATATAAGCCACCAAATCGGTGACATTCTAGTCGATTTCCCCACCGATGAGCCTAATTTAGACGCACATTTGATTCAACGACTAATCTCTGCAGACGGCGTCTGGGAAAACTTAGCACTTGTCGGTTCACTCTCCGAATCGGGGTGTAGTCGTTCTCATGTCTTTTTTGAGAAGAGGTTTCTCCTGTAGGTAGCTGTATTCCTAAGTCCCATGAGGTGGAGCTTAGCAAAGTGGTGGAACAGAACATGGTTCTACTAACGTCAATCGAGCACGTAAAACTCAACAGATTAGAAAGTGTTTGGATGAAGAGTTTAGCTTGTGAAGACCTATAGTTGTATTTGTCTCGTGAGTTGTTTCGATCTTGTTTAGTCGCAGTTTTCTGGGTAACACCTCCAGTTGGGGGTGAGGTAATCGTGTGAAAATGTCAACCGTGGTGGGTTTCCCAGGGTGGCATGGTTTCGGATTAGACAAACGTCTATCTCACTCTTGATCTGACTAACCAGACGACCACTGAATCCGTCGATCGATACACTTACTTTCTAAGCTTTCCAACGATTCGTGCACGCCACTTCATAGGACTTGACTACTGCTTGTTCCAAAGCGTGCCCACGGTATGTCGTGACTACAGAACTCACAGGCGAATTGTCCTCACCAACCTCAACATCGCACGCTCTTTTCGAGGGGCCACCCTATCTCCCGAGCGAGTCCATAACTTCTCCCGTCTGAAGAAAGTTTGTACGTCTGGTCATCTGCTTCGATACATATTCAACTGTAACCCGGCAATTCTGACGACGTGGGCCCGGGGAACACGGGTCACCGCGTACATAGCATCTAAGGTGTTTGTGAACCACACTGAAATACGATGTCAAACCCAACGCCCAGAAAACATTGGTACTAATCGATAGACGTTAAGCTTTGCCTTCAACATCGGGCTTCACTTCTGTCCCCCAGTTGGCAAGTGCAGTTTGTGTTGTAAAATACGGTGTCGGAGATGTAGCGTTGAAACTAACAAAATCAGCACACTAGTGTCGACTATTTTCGGGGTGGCTTTCTCAGGATGAATATGCGAAATCCCGAGCGTCACTGGGCGACACCAGCGTACGACTGACATCTCTCGCACTCAAATTATGTAGGGG